TTGTTTACCCATATCTTCAGAAAAAAATCACTTCTACTGTCATGGTAAACAACCTGCTTCCCTATTTATAATGGTCTGGCCCTCTAGCAACTTCAGCACGAAATTATAGCTAATTTGCCTACAAACGTCAGGTGGTCATAATAATCTGGACTCTGTGTATGTGTCCTTATCCCCCCAGTTCCCCCCACCCCACTCCCATTCATGCCCTCAGCCCCCTGGTGTGTATGTCCATTGGTTATGCTTATATGCATGCATACAAGCCCTTTGGTTGACTTTTACCCCTTACCCCCACCCTCCCCTACCTTCCCTCTGAGGTTTGAGCATCTGATCAATGCTTCTCTGTCTCTGGATCTGTTTTTGTTCATCAGTTCATGTTGCTCATTATAATCCGAAAATAAGTGAGATCATGTGATATTTATCTTTCTCTGACTGACTTATTTCACTTAGCATAATGCTCTCCACTTCCATCCATGCTGTTTCAAATGGTTGGAGTTCCTTCCTTTTTACCACAACATAGTATTCCATTGTGTGGATGTACCACGGTTTTCTAATTCACTCATCTGCTGATGGGCACTTAAAATCTTCACTATTGTAAATTGTGCTGCTATGAACATAGGGGTGCATATATCCTTTCTGATTGGTGTTTCTAGTTTCTTGGGATATATTCCTAGAAGTGGGATCACTGGGTCAAATGGAAGTTCCATTTTTAGTTCGTTGAGGAAACTCCATACTGTTTTCCACAGTGGCTGCACCAGTCTGCATTCCCACCAGCAGTGCACAAAGGTTCCTTTTTCTCCACATCCTCGCTAGCATTTGTCATTTGTTGATTTGTTGATGATAGCCATTCTGACAGGTGTGAGATGGTTGTTTTGATTTGCATCTCTCAGATGATTAGTGAATTTGAGCATGTTTTCATATGTCTCTTGGCCTTCTTTATGTCTTCTTTCGAAAAGTGTCCATTTAGGTCCGTTGCCCATTTTTTGATTGGATTGTTTATCTTCCTTTTGTTAAGTTGTATGAGTTCCCTGTAAATGTTGGAGATTAAACCCTATTGGAGATAACATTGGCAAATATGTTCTCCCATGCAGTGGGCTTTCTTGTTGTTTTGTAGATGGTTTCTTTTGCTGTGCAGAAGCTTTTTATTTTGATGTAAAATAAATGGGATGTAGTCCCATTTGTTTATTTTCTCTTTAGTTTCTATTGCCCTAGGAGCTGTATCAATGTTGGCATAAGAACAGACATATAGACCAATGGAATAGAATAGAGAACCCAGAAATTGACCCAAACCACTATGCTCAATTAATATTTGACAAAGGAGGCAAGAGCATACAATGGAATCAAGAGAATCTCTTCAATAAATGGTGTTGGAAAAATTGGACAGATACATGCAAAAAATAAATAAATAAACTAGACCACCAACTTACACCATACACAAAAATAAACTCAAAATGGATAAATGACTTAAACGTAAGATGGGGGAAACCATAAAATTATTAGAGGAATCCATAGGCAGCAAAATCTGAGACATATGTGAAGGGGAATATTTTAATGAGAAAGATATTAGTGGTTTCCTGCCATGAGAGATAGCAAAATTTATTCAGCATGTTAAGGAATCAGAAATGTTTTTAAAATAATCTACCTCCAGTCCCCAGCTTGCTTTTTAATACCTTCTAATTCAATTGGAGGGCTTTGATATGTTTAACTAATGGAGCTTTAAAAGTGTTGATTAACCTAAAACTTTAGCACATAGATATCTTTTTCAACTCTATTACTGCCAAGACTATACTTCAATGAATTCCAGACTTGCCCCATTGCATGAAGTCCAACCAATGGCCAACTTCATTACCAGATTATTTCTGATTAGAGGTGCACTTAAAAACACTAGAAAATTATTGCTAGTTTTAATTTCCCAATGGAGAGACAAATTTGCTGATAACACCAATTCACAGAAACCCGATTCCCTTATCTTCTTTGTTTCAAAGAACCAAGTAAATAGATTCATAATGCACAGTACAAGACTGGCAAGCAAGGAAAACTCGTGTAAGATGAGAAGGTAATACCCACCATTCACAAATTGTTTCATCCTGTTGAAATAAATATGTTAAACTTTGCTATCTAGTAAGATACAACTCCCTGGATGGAGACAAAAACAAATCAAAAAGGTTAAGAAAAGTAGAAGTGTGTTTCAAGACTGTCCAGACTGCTTTAAGATTTATTCAAATTTAGGGTATTCCTTTAAAATAGTTATTTTCATAACTTCAATGTTTTTCCCCTGGAATGACCCCATAAACAAGATAAAACATTATGATCGTGCTGGGTTTATACTGGATATGCAAGATACATTCAACATTTGAAATTCAATGTTAATCAGCCATGTCAAGACACTGAAGGAGAAAAAACTATACTATCTTCTCAATAAATTCACAAAACAGAGCATTTGACAGGCTTGAACACAGACCAATTGATTATCTTAAACAAACCTTAATGATGCCAACAGAATGGTAAGGAGAGCACATTGTGGACATGAAAGCAAGACCCACAGTTGTTCCAGAAAGTTCTGTTGCCCTGAAAGAAATTGATATGACAACTAAGCTTTATTTTCTATAGACAGTTCATCCACAACTCTAAATGATTAACAGAGAAACTCACATTGTGAATCATCACTCTAAATATGTCCTTCCGTTTTTTTTCCTGGACTGGTAGTTTAGTTGGTTAGAGTTTCTGATCAATATACTAAGGTTGTGGGTTCAGTCTCCAGACAGGCAGGGCACATACAAGAATCAACCAATTAATACATAAATAAGTAGAAAAACAAATTGATATTTCTCTGTTTCTCTCTCCCTTCATCTCTCTCTAAAGTAAATAAATAAATGATTTAAATATTTTCTTATTTTTTTTTATTTGGTGAGGCATTTTTCTTATACAATGGTTGTCATGTCACCTAAATCTAAGCACCTGAATGTAATCACTTTTAATATTTTATATCTATCATTCATGATTATTATATTTTCATTGTGGAATACATCCCTTGTCAGAAAATGTGTTTTTGTCTCATGCACCGGGGGGAGGGGGGGAGCCCTCAGCTGAGCCTGCCCCCTCTCACAGTCCGGGAGCCCTCAGGGGATATCCTACTGACAGCTAAGCCACAGTCTGGCCTCCATCTGCGGGAGGCAACTAGCTGATCAGGGGAAGGCACCACGCCCATCACCCCACTGCTGCTGCCACTGCCAGCCACTGCAGCTGCCAGCACTCAGCCCTTGCAGCCGCCAAGGTGTTTTTGTCAACATGGACTCCAGTCCCTTCACTACGAAAAAAATGACAACTTTCTTTAGGCATTTTCAAGATGTCTCTTTCATAGAATATAACCTCTCTTTCTTCCTTCCTTTCTTTCTTTCTTTCTTTCTTTCTTTCTTTCTTTCTTTCTTTCTTTCTTTCTTTCTTTCTTTCTTTTTCTTCCTTTCCTCACCTGAGGATGTTTTTCCATTCATTTTTAGAGAGCGTGGGAGAGGGAAAGACAGAGAGAAACATCAATGTGAGAGGAACACATCGATTGGTTGCCTCCTGCATGAGCCCTGACCTGGGCCCCAGCCAGGGAGGAGCCTGCAACCTAGGTATGTGCCCTTGACCAGAATCAAACTGGGACCCTGCGGTCTGCAGGCTGAGATTTTATCCACTGAGCCAAACTGGCTAGGGCAGGATATGATATTTATTAGCCCCTCCAGCAGCAGACCTCCATTTTTTCCTGCAGGAGTGAGATAGACAAACCCTAGATCACCTTCTTGAATTCTTATTACCCAAGCAAGTGGCATACTGCAAGCTTAGCCAATGAGCGGTCAGAAAAAGTGTTTCCTGTGCAGCTCACACACAGAGGCGGGACTTCTGGGTCACGGCCCTCTCCCTCCGACCCTTCGCAGCCAGAGCAGCTTTGTCGGGAAGGATGTCCAGAAGGTCATCTGGAAGACATCTGGTCTAATTAACATATTACCCTTTTATTAGTATAGATTGTCACATATGCTTTGTTTTAATTTATATTTTCCTGTTATAAAAGGGTGTCCCAAAATTCACACAAGTTTTGAATTTTACGCCATTTGTGCCGTAAAGTGTTGCCAATGGAAAAAAAAAAAGATAGCATGACAGCTGACAGTTCAGGGTTATTAAAAATGGAGCGCTACACAAAAAAAACAATGCTTCTTCATTGTTGAGTAATATTTTAAAAATAATGAAGGTTTGGCAGCTACAGTTCGCAATTTTTGTGCAAAATATGGTCGGAATAGTGATTTAACTTCATCAACTGTGATGAGATTAATTAAAAAATTTAGGGAGACTGGCTCAATTAGTGATCCTAAACATTCTGGCTGTCCTTCAACAAGTCATTCAACACAAAATATCAAAGCAGTTCATGAGAGTGTTGCTGAGAGTCCAGGGACATCAATTCGGCACCGTGGTCAAGAATCAGACATTTTGAGAAGCTCTCTACAGCGTATTCCTTGATGGCTTGGTTAATCGACAAAATTGTTGCATTTTTGGTTCAGAAAATCCCCTAGTGATTGTTGAGAAACAAATGCATCCACAACGTGTCACTGTTTGGTGCAGATTTTGGGCTGGAGGCATCATCGGACCATTCTTCTTCGAAAATGCGGCTGCTCAGGCAATAACAGTTAATGGTGCTCGCTATCATGACATAATAATCCATTTACCAGATATGCTATTCTATACATAACCCTATACTTTATGAATCAATAAAAAATTTACAATTTTTAATTATAAACCTGTTTTCTCTATCAAAATTACTTCTTGCGTGAATTTTGGGACACCCTTTATATTTTTATAACCATTTACTTTTATTTTCCTTTAGCACTGTTTTAAGTATAGTAGGATTTGGAATTTGGGTCCATTCTGAAAGATTTTGTGTTAATGAACCTTATTTGTTATTGAAATATTTGTCCTATTGAAGAGGGATTTGAAACACTTGCATTTATTTATGGAGATGATGTATTTGGTCTTTAGTAATTCTAATTTATTTTTCTCAGTTTTTAATGATTCCACTTTATTTCTTTGTTATTCTTCTTCTGCTATCTGTTCAAGATCCTGGTCCTCATTTGTACTAGAAATTTGCAATATATGCATCATTAGTGTCATCCCATACACTGGAAGGTCACAGGTTCCATTCCAGATCAGGGCACATACCTAGGTTGTGGGTTTGATGTTCTCTCTCACATTGATGTTTCTCTCTCTCTCTCTCTCTCTCTCTCTCTCTCTCTCTCCTTTCCCCTCTCTCTGAAATTAATAAGAATATCCTCTGGTGAGGATTGAAAAAGAAAGAAAATAAATTTACTTAGTAGATGCAGTTACATTTAAAAAAGAACCTATATCTTCCCACTTATCAACATCAAGAATGGAGAATATTAATTTTTGCCATGCAAAATGAGGAAATTGCATTCACTGTGGAGTGTTCAGATATCTGTTATTTTGAAATGATATTGATCTCTTAAAAATTATATTGTAAATTTACTTATACTTACATCTACATTTGTTTAGGTTCAATCTCACTACTAGCTCATTTATAAAAAATAAAATATTTCCCCATCTTGGAGTTATCTAGTTTGGTTCCAATTTTTAGTGAATAGAATATATTTAGACTCTAAGGTCTCTACCTGGTTACACTGAGATACAGGTATCTTTTGTTAATTTGTCAGGTAAATGGTAAACTTTCTATTTACAAGTAAATAGACAATTGTTTATTTCCATCATATATTTTAATCTGTTTATTTTAACCTATTCAAGAAACTTACTCAACATTTGATTTCCAATTTTTTATTTATGCACCTGTTATCTTATGTATAATTTGTATCTCTCTATTCTACTACTCACATACAGGAATACACTATAATCAAGCATGGCCCTGGAGCCAGTCTGGTAATTGGATTCCCTTACTACTTACTAGTTTAAGATCTTTAAAAATCATGAATTTTTCAAAAATGATGTTTTACCTTTGGTGGGCCCTTGAGTCTGGCTGACCTTCCCAAATGAAGGAACTCTGGCTGCTGTTCTTCAAAGGTAACCCCAAAGACCAGCTTTGCAGTATTCACATCCTGGAGTGCCTATGAATCTGGATAGGTCTATGACTTGCTCTTGACCAACAGAACAAATCATGTGACCATGTCATTTCTAAAATTGGGTCAAAACAAAGCCTTAAAGCTCTCTCCTGGGCCCCTTAGAATGCTTCTTCTGGGAAAAGTGAGTCACCTACTAAGATATCCAAAATCCTGAGACTGCCATGTTAGAGGCAGTCCAAGTTAGCCACACAAAAAGCTGTATATACAGAAAGATGACCAACCAGCCCCCCTTCTCCAGCCACACCAGGCAAATTATCAGCCATATAAGTGAAGAAGACTTAGTTTAAGTCAAGAGGTTGTGAGCTGATGTGTTATGCTGTAATAGATAACCAGCAAACAATATTAATTCTGACAAAATCTAATTTCCTGCTGCTTCCTTCTATCTGATACAGCTGCAAGCTATCCAGCAGAATTTTCTTGATTTCTTTTAAGGCAAATGTTCAGCACTTTTTGTATAATTTACAACTTTTATATTTATTTTCCCTGTTTTTTAAAATTAGTCATTTCAGCAGAATGGTAGAGGTGTGTAATTAGAATGCAATATTCAATTTATCTTCTATTCTAGAAGTGTGTCCTGACTAGCGCTTAAAGCTAATCAATTCTTTTTAAATAGTAAATCTAAATTCATCTGGCCATCCTCTAAACCAGTCTTTCCTTTCTGTCCATCCAATAAAAACAAACAAACTTCTTGTGAATCATTACTAAATCATTAGCTTCTCATAAAAAAGAAAAGAGCAGCCGAAACCGGTTTGGCTCAGTGGATAGAGCGTCGGCCTGCGGACTGAAGGGTCCCAGGTTCGATTCCGGTCAAGGGCATGTACCTTGGTTGCGGGCACATCCCCAGTAGGGAGTGTGCAGGAAGCAGCTGATGGATGTTTCTCTCTCATTGGTGTTTCTAACTCTCTATCTCTCTCCCTTCCTCTCTGTAAAAAATCAATAAAATATATTTAAAAAAAGAGAAAAGAGCATATTCAACATAAGGTCCTAATGAATACTTTTAAAACTTTTAACCTTCTATGTTAAACCATGTCCCCTTACCTTATACCCTGAGATACCACTTGCTTTGCCCGGGCTTTGAGAAGTTTTATACTAAAAACCACATAACATAAAAAGGGGGGAATCTATACATACGTGATTAACTGAGCAATATCATGACGCTTTCTTCTAAGGAGGACATCCCCCCTCCATTTAGAAAAGTTTTCCAAGGTGAAGCTTGCATTTGGGGTGATCTTTATCTTATCCTCATCATTCCAGATTTCTATCCCCACTAAGGCCACATGAGTATTGAGCTTTTTATAAACCTGTCCAAAGAGAAAAAAATGACAAAACATCAACTTATAATGGTGACATCATCATTTAATATTCTCAATATACTTTAGATTTTCAAACTATTTATAACACCACTGTAAAAGCTTTCTTTCTAAACAAATTTGTGAATGGAAGTTGCCATTTCTTTCTTGCAGAGGCTGATATTCCCATTCTTAGGCAAAACAAACACCCTTAGATATTTCAGGTCTGTAAATTCCTTTTTTTTTTTTTTTGGAGAAAAGGTTCTTTTGAGACAAATCTTTTTTCTGTCTGCAACCTCAAGAAATATAATTTTCTATTAGTGGTTCATTACTATTACTTCATTTAACTCAAATGCCTTGTAGCATTCTTAGAATCTTCATGTTTCAGAACTTAGCAAGGTTGAGTCAGTGCTGGTTTGGACAATAGTAAAGAAACGTGCTATGTGGAAAAGTCCTACATCTGGAAGTCACAATGAAATAAGTGGTCCTCTAATGCTGATAACTGAACTATAAACCAAATACACTACAATGCACATAGAATAACCTTTGGAAATAAGTTAAGCTTATGAGACAATACGCTTACTCTAAATATAAAAACTTAAATAGCTGCTATAGTTTATAAAACTATAGTGTTGGTCAAAGGATGAAAACTGCCAGTTTTATGATGAATAAGTTCTGGGGATTGAATGTAGGGCATGGTGATTAAAGTTAATATTACTATATCATATAATATACTTGGAAATTGCTAAAAGAGTAGATGTTCAATGTTCTCCTCAAAATAAAGAAATGGTAATTATGTAACATGATGGAGGTGTTGGCAAACCTATGGTGGTAATAATTCCACAATATATAATAGAACACCTTAAACTTACACAATGCTATATGCCAATTATATCTTTTTGAGATATACTGAAAAAATCCACAGTGACAGGTTTTCTCATGGGGCAACATTCTGCCGCATTAAAAGTAGTTTGTAAAATAATAAAACATTTAGGAATACAAGTGTCACCAAAAGAGAAGTAAAAATCTAACAAGATTAAAATCCTCTCTATTATTCCCTCAACTTCCTTATTCCTTTCTTGCTTTATTTTAGTCACCTGACAAAACTCTAATCCTGGCTGAAGCTCCCTCCCCACTCTGCCTGCCCCCCATCATGCCTCAGAACCCCGACAGGGAAAGCACACCATGCTGACTGCTTCCACATTGAAGCCCTGACTACTGACCTCAAGTGATCTTTCCCACACTCCAGAAACCAGCTGCATTTCCAAAATCCATTCACTCTCTGCACATTTTTTTCATACTCACTCCTCTTTCTTTGAAATTCTGACAGTTTCTTTTAAATCCTCACTTTAAATGGATGCCCCTGCTTATCATACTCACTAAGCATCTAGAAGCAATCAGGAGAGAGCTTCCACAAGCTCCTACCACCCATCTATCTACGCCCTGGCCTACACCTGTTGGAACAACCCATGCCTCTCCTTTCTTATGATGAATGCTCTGTGAACTGAAGGACAACTCCTTTATTCATGACCAGATCAAAGAGCTCTTCCAGCAACTCTTCCATCTTCCTTCTATGGAATTGTTTCCCATTAGCGGCAAAATGGGGGTTAGAGGATGAAAAGAGAATTTCTCTTTATGACCCTTCTCCCTCCAACTTAGGCTCCATTTCTCTGTTCCCCTTTAGAGCAACTTCTGGGGAGAATTTTCCATATTTGCTGTCTCTAATTTCACTTCTCTCGCTGTCTCTGGACTCACTCTAATCCTTATTTACTGTTGTACTCCACAGAAACTTGCATCTCCAGGTGACCAAAAACCTCTACTTTGTTAAATGCAATGGTCAATCCTTAGTGCTCAGAAGCATCTACAATCTTTGATCATTTTTCCTTTTATAGATTTCTGTTTCAAGTAGCTTCTAGAAGAACAACTCTCTCCTGGTTTTCCTCCTGCCTCACTATCTACTCCTTCTTGGTCTCTATCAGTGTCTCCTCCACTCTAATCTCTCCTCAGAGAAGTACTTCGATGATCTGTCTTTGGGTTTATTTTCTACTTATCTAGGCCCACACCCTTGGTGAGCCTGCACCAACAGTTTCTTGGCAAACTATTTCTAGAAAGCTCTAGATAGAAAATATCTTAAGCTTTGAGGCCGTGTACTCTGGGTTGAAACTATTCACCACCTCCAGCATTGTATCAGGAAAGCAGCAAAACAGACCTTGTGCAAACAAATGGGGGTGGCTGTGTTTCACTAAAACTTTATTTTGTAAAAAGGCAGCAGGATGGATCTGGTACACAGGCTACAGTTTTCTGACCCATGCCTTCTCTATATGTGCTGGGGACTTACAGATTTATATCTTACAGATTTACGTAAGCACTCCAATCTTATATTTGCAGCATTTCTACCTGGAAATCTTTATACAAAAAGATATCTCAATGTTAATTTGTTCAAAATGGAAATCCTAATCTGTCCTCTGAGTCACCATCCCCTACCATTTTCCCCCATTCCTTGTTCGTTAAGTCAAAACCCTTGATGTCACTGACTCTTCTCTTTTATATTTTTGTAATTCTTATCTCCACACACGTCATAACCCTGTTAGCTATTCTCAATAGACCCATAATCACTGCTTTTTCTCAAACCACCATCATCTCTTGCCTGGATTATGGCATAATTCCCCTGTCTCATCTTGTTTCTGCCCTTGCTTTCCTTCCTTTTATTTTCAACACAATGGCCAAGATCATCTTTTAAGAACCCACATCTGACCATGTCATACCTCAGGCTCCCAATGTTCTCCTCACTCATGACGTCCTTACACAGAACCACCAGGCCTTCAGGTTTGGGCCACTGCTACCTGTCAGATGGCATCTCCTCTCACCCTTGCGCTGGTTTACTACATTCTGGCCACAGTGGCCTTTCCACTGTTCCTCAAACATGACAATCTAGGTTCTGCCCTCAGGTCCTTTGCTCTGCTTTGCACACCTCCCATTAGGGTCAGAGAGAATTCCTTCAAGTCTCTACTCAATTGTCACCTTATTAGAGAGGCCTCCTATTTCACATAGCACCTAAGATGAATCTCTCCTCTCTCTCTCTCTCTCTCTCTCTCTCTCTCCCTTTCTCTCTCGCTTTATTTTTCTTTATAGCAATTATCACCATCCTACATACTCTTTATATGATTTATTTGTCTCCTTAAAAATGTAAACTCCCCTGAAGCAAAGGATATTTGTCATTTTTGTTTCTCACTTTATTTCTGTAATCTCAAAAAGTACCTGGCACAAAGTAGATGCTCAAAAAATATGGCCAGTACTTGGGGGTTTCCTTAAGAGGAGTGAGTCACCATGATCTTTGTGGTGAGAAGACAAAATAGGACCTTGGGCACTGAATCCACCTTTATTTTCTTTCTATCCTTAGATGATGTGTAGGTCACCGCAAAGTGACCAACCCTTTTCAACTACGCAGGCTAACTATATGTTCAAGTAATAAACTAAATATTAATATTTAAATATTTTAAAAAGGTTAGATTATAAAATCATGTTTAAAGAACAGATCAGCAATTATGTAATCAAAATGGGCTTGAAATCTGACCAATCTAAGTTCAAATTTTATTTCTATCATTTTTCTAATTTTGTGATTTTAGAAAAGTTACTTTGCTTCACAGAATCTGATTTCTTTGCTATAAATTAGGTTTGATAATATTTTAGTGTTGTTTGATGATTCAATGATATAATTTATTGAAAGATGTTATTGTGCCACAGCTTGCCTTATTTTGCTTGTTTTATTTTCTTCCCGTGATTGGCTTTCCCTTGAGACTTGTTTGTCAGAATTTTTATACTGGGCTTTGGGAAAAGAAAAACCATGCAGACACCTTGTATACCTTCATGGAGCTGAGACTAGTGTGACAAATAGGTGAGAAATGTCTCTGTCCTGTAATATTAATATTTAATTAAGTTGCAAAGGTTGTGGTCACCCTTCAAGAGGCAGTCATCAGTATTAGTCTTAAGAGTGTTGACTTTCTTTCCCTGCTTCATGAGTACTCACAGAAACACCCAATGTTACTGCCTAGCAAGAGTTAAAATTACATCAAAATAAATATCATACCATGTTGACGTAATTGGCCATCTCAAACACCCTCTTTCTTATTTTCTCTGGATCTTGATTGTACTTTTTAAACTAAAAGACAACCAAGACGAAAAAAAAAATGGGCATTGATAGGAATAAACATAATGGGAAGGTTTAAAAATAAAGACATTCTCAGTTTATTTTACTTATCAGTGTTTATAATCCATGATCAGTTACAAAAAGTTAGAAACAAATGCTTCCTTATTTTTCAAACCATATTAAAGCATTTTAGGAATAGAGATGATGTTTCATCCCCTAAAGTACTAACTCAGTGTAAAGCTTTAAGGTGTTATTACAAATGTATTTCAGTTAAATACCATGATTCCCTAATCTGTGCAGAATCAGTGCTAGGAATAGATTATTCCTTAAAAAAATATGAACAGTAAATGAATTTGGTATAATAAGAGAGGTCAAAGTTTTAGAGTCTGAACTAATTAACTTGTGTTATCAAAGCACAGAATTTTTCCTTTGAGATCATACATGTGTGTCTCTGATTTAGAACACACAATATATGAAAATGCATTCTTATAAAAGAAGTTAGACAATGAGTATTATAAGAAAGCGCTTTTTTTCCCCAGAAGATCCTATTCATTAGTCCTTTATGTTTACCACTTCCTTATGAGCATAAATTCTAATTTACCAATGATTTAACTAGTAAACAGAAGCCAAAATGACAAAGAAATTTAATTGGTAACTGAGTCTGGAGCTCTTAAGATAAAAAGAAAGGACATTCGAGTATAAAAATGTATTGCATACATATCATATCCAGTGCCCATTCTTGGAAAGAAGAAATCGTATCAGTCTAATTATATGTCAAATTTTTCATAGGTTCAGAACAATTGGTAAAAAAGAATTACTCATAATCATGATTTTTAAAAACCAATCCATAGAGCTAATACTCACATAATAAGTTAAGGTAGGAGGGGATTATAAAAGACGCATTTATTGACATAGTTACCTCACCATTATCCAGGACCAAGTAATATTCTATGTATTTCTTTTGTTCCCAAACTTTCCGGTCATGGTCACTTAATTTCTGCAATCAATATAACAAGAAAAATTACTAAGACAAGATCTTTCTCTGCAAGATTCTTTCTTTTATGAGATTGGTTGTTGTCTGGGGATAAAGGAAGATAAGATTATGATGTTAATTCTAACTAATAAGCCAGAATTATCTATAGACAGGCTCAGAATGTCAGGGCTAGGAGAGATGTCAGCGATATGCTAGCCCAACCCCTTTGTTTTACCAAACAAAGTGATTACACAACTAGTAAATAGGAATGCTGGAATTAAAAGTGTTCAGAGGTTTTTGAACAGTGGACATTCCCACTGTCCTGCTATGAAATAGACAGACTTTGACTTCAGGGTCCTCCTTGTGTTTTTGTTGTCGTTGAGTATCCTTTTATTCCTGTTCCAGTGAACACCCGCTTCTTTACCAATGGTGCCATGCCCAAAGCCACGTGACACCTAGTCTGTCCTTTTCTTCCCAGAAAGAGCTGGATCTCTTTCCTACATTCTAAGCCTCCCTATTTTCTGTTCCTTTTTCTCCACAATAAAACAAAATAACAACAATGAAAACATATTTCATAGTGATTGTCCCATTGAAAAGTAGCAGACATTATTTGTATTAAATAATAAACCATCAAAGTTTATTATGTTGCATTTCTAGAAGTGCTTGTCTTTTAACGGGTAAATAAGTTTCCATTAACAAAAAAGAGTCCTGAAGGTAGACTTTTAGCTATTATCTAATGATAATACTTACCTCCCACCCTCCATGGGAGCAATAAATTCATTAGCAATTACTGTGCACCAGCAATGCTCTGGGCACTAGGGATAGAGCAGTGAAATAGACATGGTCCGTGCACTGAAGGAGCTCACAATAGGCAAATAAACACAGACATATCAGATGGGCATTATGAGGGCCTCCGTTATTTAGAGGAAGAATGACAGTGAGAGGAACTGAGAAGGCATAGCACTGGTGAGGTAGGAGGGAAACGAAAGAGAGAGAGAGAGAGAGAGAGAGAGAGAGAGAGAGAGAATGGAAGCATGGTTATTTGCACATGATTAGCAAGGAATTGAGACAGAGACAAGAGGTCTGTACCAGCTCAACCAGGAGATCAGCATTCAGGTAAGAGTGGTTCTTCTGGCTGGTAGCAAACACCCAGCACATTGAACCCAACAGAGATTTGATTCTATTCGGACCAATTCTGCCCACTGCTTATGGGTTCCCCAAATGTTTATAAGAGATGATCTTTTGTAACTGAAAGTTGAATTCCATATATGAAAGCACATTCTAACCTGCCGTGGGCAGATCCTATATTTACCTTCCTCACTGCCACATCCTCAGCACCTATGGCAATACTTGAAGAAGGATTTGTTGAATGAGTTCATTCATGAAGACAGCAGGATATTTTACCTCAAAGTAATAATAATGCTTTACACTGTTGCTGTATGTTAGAGTATTGTGAAAGTTGCCTGCTCCTAGTTGATCCATAGTACTTATTAAATTAAATAAATCAATGTGCAATAAGGTTTTAATGTCTCTATAACCTATTAGTTTCAACAATGACTGTAAAGTTTCAGCAATGTGCAGTTGCTAAGACTAGAACCCAGGGCAGACAGGACTGAATACATGAGAGTGCATGAGAGTATTCCAAATAAAAAATAGAGGTATGCATACGACCAGACTGGTGGCAGGTGGGGTCACATTCTTCCGAGATGTATGTGCCCATATCATGTCATCCATCCCACAGGTGCTGGGAGCCTTCTTTTCATCAGGATCATGCTTGAAGAGTGCATGCTCCTGTTCATCCTGATTTGCAGAGCTTAAAGGTTCAATGAAGTACCTTTCATCTCCCTGACTGAAGTAGCCCCTAAAAAACATGAGAGTCCAGGCTTCTTAAAAAATATTTCTGCATTTGAGTGCAATAGACTTAGAGACTCCAAAAAGTTACCATTGCCAAAACATTCTAAGCTCCTGGCAGTAGAACACAGTGTAACATTACAGCTGAAGATCTCCTTAGAAATTATCTAGACTTATTCTCTCTATGAGGAAATGGAACCTATGGGGGAGAAATGACTTCTGCAATGTCCTATAGCTAACCTAAGTCAGAGCTGGCACTAGAATAAAATTTCCTGACTTTTGGTCCAGTGTTCTTATAATTCCCTTGCCTTGTCTGTTCTCAGGTGTACTGAAAATGGAAGAGATCTGTAGTCTAATATATCAGGGTTAAAACTCTGGGCCTATCACTTATTAGTGGTAATACCAGGGGAAATTACTTAAACTCACATAGCTTCATTTTCTCTATCTATAAAATGAGAATAACAATACATACAATAGAATGGTTATAAAAATTGAAGGAGATAATATGCAAAGCAGATGATCAATGAATAATGCCAATATCATCTTAATTCTCTCTGCTGAAGCCCCAAGCTAAGATTCATTGGACCACATTTAGGGAACACCCATTATTCATTAAGCATTGAACTAGAGGCAGGTGGTAAAGAGAGTCATTGTCTCTCCTCTCATAGAGCTTATATTCAAATGAGGAAGATAGATGTTGAATAAATAATTACATTTGACCCACAAATATATATAATTATATGACATATATGTAATATACATAATTATAGCAGATAATTTCTAAGAAGAAAAGCACACGAACATACAATAGGGCAAACGGATTTATTATACATAGAATTAGAAGAGTAAGAGGTGACGGGAGAGATAAATTGGGGGATTGATTGCATTCGTTTGCATAATGTGGCAGTAGAGAGAGAATGTAGTGAATAATCTCAGAAAATATTTAGAACATATAATCAATAAGGCCTGATAATGGATTAAAATAGGTAGTTGAAAGGCAATAAGTCATCAAGAACCTAGATTTCTGTACTGGGCAAGTAGTTGGTTGATTATTTACTGTGATAAGAAACACTGGATAAATACCAGATTTTAGAGAAAATCACTAGCTTCATTAAGATTTCATTAAGATATACAGATATGGAAGAGATATGGAGATAAGAAAGAAAAAATTAGATATTCAAGTCTAGGTATGGGAAGTCTGGATATCTTATTATTGACAGATACATGGGGAGTCCTTAGTACAGAGAAAAAAATGGATAAGCCTGGACAGGACAAACTAGAGATTTTCGAGTAAAGAGAGAAGGTGAAGAGGAGCTCCCCTTTCCTAAAGGCTCTGACTTTAAAATTGGGACTCAAAACCTATATTTTGAAAGCAAGCAACCAATCAAAGAAAAGCAACTCAGAAAGCAATTCAGGTTTTTAATTTATAAACTACTATCAAGAGGGGCCATGTTTCTTTCAAATTTAAAAATTTTTAGTCCTTAGAATTCATATTTCCCTATAGTAACATTATATATATATATATTTTAGAGGCCCAGTGCATGAATTCATGCACCAGTGGGGTCCCTCAGCCTGACCTGCAGGATCAAGCCAAAACCGGCTCTCTGACATCCCCCAAGGGGTCATGGATTGTGAGAGAGCACAGGCCAGGTCAAGGGACCCCACTGGTGCATGATCGGGGCTGGGGAGGATGCGGGAGGTTGGCCAGTGAGGAGGGACCACAGGAAGGCTCCAGGGCATGTCCAGCCCATCTCACTCAGTCCCAATCAGCTGGACCCCAGCACAAGCTAACCTAATGCTTGGAGCATCTGCCCCCTGGTGGTCAGTGAACATCATAGTGAGCAGTTGAGTGGCCTTAGCATATCATTAGCATATTATGCTTTGATTGGTTGAACGTTGACCGGGCGACCAGACACTTAGCATATTAGGCTTTTATTATATAGGATATATTATTGTTGGCACTATTACAGATGTTCCACATTTCTTTGGGTTTATTAAACATATATACACACCCAATCATCAAAGATGCATACAAACTATTCATGAAGTCTTACCTTAGACCTCTACATGTGCTGATGCTAGCTTCAGAAATTTTTGCATTAATAATATGTCCTTGATAATAACAGTCATCCTAAAGAAAAGAGAAAAGGGATTTTATAAAGGAAAGTGTGCATGTTTTTTAGACCATTGCTACATTTAAAATTGAAATTTTGAAATAGGATCTATAATGCTTTAAAGTCATTTTATGCTGAATAACAATCAACTTAAAGATAGTAAAAACATTTTTTAAGTTTCTTATGGTTGAAATCTTTAATATTTAGGTAATGATCCCAAATGCTTACAGATTGCTAACTAAATGTTGGTGTAAATGTTTGTGTTGCAGATAAAGGAAAACAGGTTGAATACAGCCTGGAAGCAACAAACATAGATGTATGTTTAAAACCTGAGCTCCTAAAACATTAGACATTTATTCCTTTCTTTGACTAATCAGTCAACCAACCACTCATTATTTTTTTAACAAGTATGAGTTCTTTCCAATGAATGTGTTATTTCTTGATTTATCTAAAGAGTTTCACCAGACTAATTGGATTAGTACAGCACTCTCTGCCTCTATCAGCAAAATGCCCAACACGAACCCTTTTTCTTGTGTCTGTGCTCCCATCAAGTAGACCTTTCTACTTTTGGAAAGATGAAATATTGGCCTATGTAAACCCCTGTGCTACTGCATAATTTTATAATTCTAACATTGAGGAAATAGTCTGGACTTTGAGAGACTAAATGATTTAGTGATCATATGTAATTTTCTACTCTTCTAATGAAAATAAGAAGCTCCTTCTGTCCACTTTCCTATAGGGAGCCCTTGAAGGCTGGAAAGGGTTACCATGTTTGTAAAGGAATGACTGTTTTTGTCAAGCTCTCCAAATGATGGAGGATCAATCAAGAAATTACTACTAGCCTGGCTGGTGTGGCTCAGTGGTTGAGCATTGACCCAGGAACCTGGAGATCTCAGTTTGACCGCCCTGCCCTGCCCCAGTCAGGGCACATGCCAGGGTTGCAGGCTGGATCCCCAGAAGGGCGTGGGCAGGAGGCAGCTGATCGATGATGTTTCTCTCTCATTGATGTTTCTCTCTCTTTATCCCTCTCTCTTCCTCTCTCTCTAGCAATCAATTTTAAAAATATATTTAAAAAAGAAAGAAATTACTATTAAATAAAGCAGTGATGCTATACATGCTGCTTCCCTTTCACTACTTGTTTGGCAATGACTGCATTTGGATGTGTGGGCCGTACCCCAATTAACAATAAATCTAGGATACTCCATCTTACCATGATCTGTGGGCTGGAGGTGACCTCCTTTCCTGTGGAATTATAATGTGTTTCCGTGTAGCCTGGTGCCAGGAGATCCCTGGAGACAAAGAAAAAAGTCATAGTTACTCATGCTAATTACAAAGTTCAGTGATCAAAGTGAGAGCTTTCCCTGGGTGTGCAGTGAAGTTCTAATTCCTGAGGACCTCGTCCTAACCCCTTACAAGTTCAGGCAGTCGTGAGTAGTAGGGAACAATGTCTGCTTTGTTGTCCGACTTTGCTTACTGGCCTGAAGAAAGACTTGAGGAAGAAATGAAACTGAGGGGAAAGTTGGTAAAAAGTGGCTGAAAAAGTGCTGTTCCTCATCAGTTTAAGGTAACTTCATTTCCCCTAGCCCTTCAGTCACCAGTGACTGTTCAAGTTTATTGAAAATTCCCTTGCTTTTGGCAGTTAGGGTCCTCCCAGCATTTCTGCCAAGCCTTCTTAAAATTCTTTCAATTACTCTCTAGAAAATAGGAGCCTTTCTATATTTTTAAAAGAGGTAGGGCAAAGAGAAAAGGAAGTAATGACTGTGTATTAAGTGCTATCTCTGTACTGGCCACTGGGTTAGACTTGTTACATGAGTCATTTAATATAATCTTTTCAACAATCCTACAAAATAAATATTATTCTCTATTGTTTGGATGAGATTAAATAGTTCAAGTGGCATAGAATCATTTTTAGGTCTGCCTTAATCCCAAGCCTGTATTCCTTCCATTACAGTACACTATTTCCAAACTCCAGACAGTTGTGATTTTTTTTTTTTGCAAAAGGTGATATTCTATTTGTCTATCTTGCTGACCTATATAGAACAATTGAGGGATTGAAATAAATTGAAAGCACACATTAGGAAATTGCTTTTGAAATAGTGTATCTATAGGGTAATCAGGATTTGGGTAAGAGCTTAGGTAGTGAAACTTGAAAAGAAATGTTGAATTTTGATGAACTAGATGGAGAGGTAAGAGCCTAATGTAACATATGAAAGAAATGGATGGGTTAGTGGGCAGCTGAGTAGAAAAGGCATTGGTGTTGAAATCAGGAGAGCCCAACTCTGGTTTTACCATTGACTGGGTTCTTTGGCCCTAGAGTTTATTTAACTTTTATATGTCTTATTTTTTTACCAGTGAAAATGGTTGCAAATTGCTTTAAAATCTAATCTTTCAGTGTTAGAATAATAAAATGAAATAGTGTAGGGGAAGAGTTAAAAATCTATAATTATTTCATTGAATTTGATAAAATGTATGTCTGTTTGCACCTCATTTAGTTTGTCTTATTCCTAGAACTATCAAAATACTAGTAAACAGTTGTTTTACCCAATATGTTTCTACTACTTCAGTAGGAACAAATATTCATTGAACCTCTTGGACCAGTAGAGAGCAAAAGCTGATTAGCCAGGGTTTACGTGAGACATAAGTAATAACAGACTCAATTAGCATACTTCCCACATGCTCGTTAGCTATTGGTGAGGATTATATCAGAAGTAAAGACACTTACTTGGATTTTTTCAAATAAAGCACTGCCATTTTCCCGTTAACTGTCATTTTATACTTCAATTCAGTTTCATATTTTTCCTGCAAAAATGTAAAAACATTTGCTGGCAATTAAAAGACACACACAAATATTTCTTTTGCTAGGTCTATCTGTTTAATCATTAGCAAGCAACGCCTGCTTTTCCTTAACATTAGTGTGTATAATGCCAAATATCTGCTTCTGCCTCTCTTAACAAATCTAACAACTTTGCCAACTAAGTAGATAAATTACGTGAGACCTTTATATACATCCATCTTTTCCTCCATCCATTCATTTACCCATTCATGTATTTTACAAATATTATTTGAGTGCTGGTTATTTTCAAGATATGGCTTGGTTCTGGAAATTCAACTTGAAGCAATAAAAATTAGTATTTGCTGTCAGAAAGCTTATAATCTTGTAGAAAACAGACAATAACTGTGAGTTATGTTGTATGATAAATGATATAAAAATGGAGGCAATGTGGGATGTCTAACATCTTAAAGGAAGGGAAGGTTTTCCTGAGGAAGTAATGCATGAGCTGAGATATAAATTAGCCAGGTGAAGCAGGATAGGGAAATTATTTGAGAAGGATTCGTTTGCGCACAGACCCAAAGACCTTTAAGGATCTCACTGATGATTTCTAGTGTGAGATCTTCTTAAGGCTAAGCGGAGGTCAGAATATGGGCAAAACCAACAAGAATATGCACCCTGGGACAAGAAGAAGCCATCAGGAAGAAAAGAGTCTCAGGTATTCAGAGAAAGAAAAATATCACCTCAAGTAAACCATGTGGATTAGGAGAACTATCTTAAGTTTCAATTTATGTCTACGGGAAGAACTATAGAGGACTATACAGGGTACTTTAAAAATCGCATTGGGTATTGAGTTTTGGTTTTGTTGTATAAAACTAGGTTACTAGTCATGGTTGCACACAACATCTAAAAATTCACTGGGAAGTGCCAAGACATTGCTATTAAAGAGATCTAAAAATGGTGACAACATGTGATTGAAAACCACTTATGATGGACTGAGTGCTCTTCCTTCTGCTGTTGCACCTAAGCCAACTTTTCTTCTCCCTTCCCTCTCCTGGCCACAACAGTACCAGAGCTCATTGAGGGACAATAGTGAATTAGACCCATAGGTCAGGGATATCATGCAGAGATTTACCATCTCCAAGGTCAGGTATTTTGGCCCATATTTCCTTTCCATTATCAATTATTGGTGTCTTCCCTGGGGTCAAAAGTGCATGACTCTAAATATCCTATACTGTGGGCCTAAAGGTGGGGAGGCTGCTGTAATTTAGTTCATTTTCATAAATAACAGGAGGTGGGAAAAATCCTGAGGATAAAAAATAAAATCCATGGGTAATTGCTCTAACCACTGATTAGAAAGGCCATCTGTATATATAAAACCCTGATATGCAAATAGAACCAACGGTGAAACAACCAAACAACTGGTGGCTATGACGTGCGCTGATCACCAGGGGGTGTGTGCGGAACATGGCGGGCACTGGCTGGGGCGGGATGGTGGAGCAGGTGAGCTGGAGCGCCAGACCAAGGCGGGGTACTGGTCGCTGTCATTGGGGCGAGCCTCTGGTGGTTACTAAAAATTATTTGCTCCCATGCGCCATTGGTCCTGCTGGGCACTCGCACCCGCTGCCAGTGCCTGGTGCCAATCCTGATCGCTTGGCGCTGTCAGTGGGTGCGAGGGGCAGCTGCCAGCCCTGATCGCCCCTAAGGGCTTCTCCACCTCCCCTTGCTCCTTAGGGGCAATTGGGGCAGTTGCTGCTGCTCATACCCGCTGCTGGTACTGGCCCCAATTGCTCTGTGATGTCAACAGGTGCAAGTGGGGCCGGTGCCATCAGCATGTGGGAGCAGAAGCAGCAGTAACGGGGCTGTTGGCAGACAGGGGACTGGGGCCCACAATGGGAAGGACCGGGCAGGAGACATGGAGGAAGGGCCGAGACCCGCCTCTGTGCCCACCACAGTCTCAAGGCCCACAGTTCCTTTCAAGGTGCACAAATTTGTGCACTGGGCCCCTGGTATTTTATAAAGGAATTGTATCTAGAATATATAAACAACTCAAAATTCAATAATAAAAAACAAAACAAAGTCCCAATTAAAATGGGCAAAGATTTAAACCAACACAACATTAGATAGATAGATAGATAAATAGATAGATAGATGATAAATGGCATATAAGCACAGAAAATAGTGCTCATTATTCATTAGTTATTAAGGATTTATATAAGTTAAGGCCAAAATGAGACATAACTACACAATGATAAAAATGGTTAATTTAAAATTTGGACTTATCACTGCCAGGGGGAATGGACAATGACACAAGTTGAAAAAGGCTAGCAGTTTCTCTAAATATTTAAATATACACCTATCAAATGATCAGCCATTTCACTTTTAGATATTTACCAGAAGAAAATAAAGAATAGGTCCATACAAAGACATGTACACAAATGTTTGTAACAGCTTTATTAGTAATATCCTCAAACTAGAAGTAATCCAAATGTTCATCAATAAGTGAACAGATAGATGGCAAATTGTGGTATCTCCACACAGTGGGGACCTACTGGGCAATAATAATATATACAACAACATGGAGGAATATTAAAGTCATTTTACTGAGTTAAACTAGCCAGCCAAATATATATATATTTTCTAAAAATTTTCAAACTAATCTATAGTGTGGATAGCAGATCAGTAGATGCCTGAGTATGTGGAGGGTTGGGGGTATGCGTAGCAGGGAAGAAGGGATGCAAAGGGCATGAGGAAATTTGGGGGATGTTGGATATCTTTATTATCTTGACTGTGGTGATGCTTCACAGCTGTAAAAGAGCTGAAAATGATCAAATTGTACACTTTAAATATTTAAAATTTATTGTATGTAAAGTATAACTCAATAGAACTGCTAAAAATAACAACTGAAAATTACATGTTATCTGCACTGGAAACAAAAAGCTGGATAATTTCAAGTAGGACCAGTCACGTGAGACTATATTTCATTATCTGTGAATTTGATTTGATTTTCTAATTTGAATTTGAATTTGATTTGATTTTCTAAACAAATACCTCCAAGTTGCTATTGAAAAACTGGATCTGGATCAATGTATGTGGGAAGAACCTTCTCTAGTGAGTCAATTTATATTTATGAACAAAAGCCTATAATAACATGTTCACTGAAGGACACTTCTAATCCTAGCACTGAGATTCCAGCTGAGTGTACCCTACGAGGTTCAACTGCAAATAGAGGTGGAAGGCCAAATCATTCAGATATCACAATCAAAGAGCACTGAGGCATTTTGCATTTAAAAGACAGCATTGTCAAAAGAGAGGCTTCAATAAGTAAATTTTCTGATAGATTTCATAATCGACTGAAAGAAAGTGGCTAATAATAATTTTAATGATATACCCAGAAAAGTGATATATATCTAGATGAAAGGCAACAGCAGGGAAGAAAACCAGAGTCTGTATGAAAGAGAGTGCACTGGACGAGGTTATAACTGTACTTCTCAAGTACAAGTCCACAGTGAAGAGCAATGCCTGCTAATAGGAAATGTGCCCAATTTGTGTTCTATCTGGGTTCTAAACTAAAGGTTAGGAGAGGGGGAAAGCACCTTGCTTTGGAGAGAATCCACTAGAAGGAAATGATGTGAAGTCTATTGAATAAGGTTAGTTGGTCATAGATGTGTGTGTGTGTGTGTATGTGTGTGTGTGTGTAAATTTTCTCCAGAAAAAATGCCATGGCTAAGGTTTAGAGTGTGTACTAAGAGGGCCATAGTCATGGATGATCCAAAATATGAGCAGATGTGTAGATCTATGAGATCAAGATGATGCCCATGGGCACACGTGAACTAGCAAAAGAAACCCTACAGGTTCCAGGGAAGATCTTAATTCATGCCTTGCCACAACATACAGAAAATCTGAGACTTTTACAAACCCTGGTGGACCCAGCTAAGGTCTAAAATTGTTCCTAATAAGAGGAAGCATTATGCTGCAAGATATTTTATTTTATGGCATGAGCCAAAAGCAAGACAGTTTTGGCCTCTAGGAAGTGTGTGAGCTGGAGGCTGAATTCTAGGAAGAATAGTGACCACCTTTTGAATATAAGTTCCCAACATCCGGGACTTTGGTTAAGTATCTGTTGAGTAAATGTTTATGCAGCTGTTTGGGCAATGTACTCCAGTTATACTCCTTTATTCATTTGTCCATCTATCTACTTATTCACTTGTTCATTTATTCAAATACTTATTTAGTTTCCCTATGCTGTGTATATAAAATACAATAATAAATATAATCTATAATCACGAATAAAACATTCAAGGTTCTATCCTGATGTTTAGTGGCCCCTCCAGAAAGTTTTCAAAGGATTATTTTATTCCAACTCAAATTGTAAGTTAAATAGTCAGTCACAATAAACTTAGGAAAATGGAGCCAAGCTTCAGGCACAGCTGACAGGTAACACTGGTGCCTGAGTCTCTGGTCCAGTAGAGGACAGAGCTTTATAATAATAAGTACATGAGTCCTCCTCTTCCGAGGCTCTAAGACATGGTTAATCTAGCCTGAGACCTAGGGGGCATCGACGGGATGCAAAGATCCCCTTGGTCACATACATTATGAATTCTGGATGTTTCAAGTAATTGCTCATCAGTTCTTTGCACAAGAAAGACCAATAGTTTCAATACAGAATCCACAAGAATAACCTCCAAGACCTTGGCTTATATCGATGGCAGTATTTTTATTAGTCATAATCTGTACTTGAGCAAAAAGAGAATATTCTATGTTAGGGAAAAGAATGTGCCTGCATGGCAGATAGGATGCCACTAGCTTTTCTAGACATGTTTAGTAGACAAGTGTGATACGGCAGAAATCAGCAACTCTGACAGGGCAGGATTGAAATATCAGACATGCAGCAGCATTGGGGTCTTATATTTTAGAGGGGACAAGGGCTGGAATCCCAGAGAGACATCTCTGGTATGTTTCTAGATGTTCACAGGGAAATGACAAAAGCCACATGTATGATTGCCAGATAAAATACAGGACACCAACCAGTGAAATAAGGATGCCAGATAAACAGTGAATGACGTTTCAATATCAGAATGCCCCATATAATGCAGAATATTTATAGTAAAAAAGCATTAATGGTTTATCTGACATTCACATTTAAGTGGATATTCTGCATTTTTATTTACTAAATCTATAGGACAGAGACTGAGAGATGAGGGTGAAAGAGGGACAGAGACATGCCAAAGACATAGAAAACACTTTTCTTGTTGACCTGGGCAGTTTCAAACCAGAAGACAAATACATACACTCTCATAGAAACACACACATTACACACATCACCACTAAAATAAGATAGACAGAAAAAAAAATCCAGAGCCAAATGGTATAACATTGACCATGACTAAAGCATGACTTTAGAAAAGGGGTCTATCTATCACAAAGAATGTAAGATGGCCGGGCCAGAGAGGCTTAGTTGGTTGAGCATAGTTACATGCATCGAAAGGTTACTGGTTCAATTCCAGGTCAGCATACAGAATTGAATGGGTTCGATATCTGGTCGGAGGGATATACCTCTCCCTCTCCCTCTCCCTCTCCCTCTCCCTTTCACATATTCTCAGGTGAGGATTTGAAATTTTAATTTAAAAACTTTAATTCAATAACTCCATAAGAAAGGGCATACAAGCTATGCACACATATTTTTAAGAAAGGCCTTCAGGATACCCAGGGCGACTAAAAAGGAAGTTATGCTGAGAAGCTGGAAGATAACAAAATGGCTTAATAAGCCATAGCATTAAGTATAAAATGCCTTAAAAGTTGGTCATATGAAGTAGAATATGATAGGTTACATAGGATAGCATCAGAGCAAAACTTGAACAGGGAGTTAATTATTGCATTCTGCTTTGATTTTTGTATAATTACCTCAAAATAGCCATATGAGATAAGCACTAATGTTGCTGTCATCTCACTTTTCACACAAAGAATTTGAAGTTCCTGTGTGCCTAAATTTACACAGGGAAGATTAGCAAAGCTAAGACATGAACACAAACAGGCCCTCTAATTCAGATCCTTTGCATTTTCCCTGGGGATCAGAAAACCATAGTTTCATACTGCCAGTTAACAGAACCGCTGACTAGATAAATATGTATTTGCAGTAAATATCAAGCACATTGCATTCATCTACTCAATCATTTAACAAATTGGTTGAACATCTAGTATGTGCCAATAACTTTCATTATGGTTTTTCATCAAGATAGATTATTCGAAAGCTTAAATTTATTTTTATAGTTATGAGGAACTCGCTATATAACTGTGATGAAAAACACTGGACATGTACTCAAATTGTTCTCCAAATATTCAGTGAAGAAAGGTATCTGGCATTATCCAGGGGGGGAATATGAGCTTCCATCTCACAATAGAGGATGCAAGTTATTATTTATGTCTCATATATCTGAGCTTTCCCGATGCCCCACAAAAGAGTTCCAGGTGTAGAGAATTAGAAAATTATTGTTGAATGAATCATTAGGTTGTAGCTTTCCTCTTTTGACTGAGAATGTGTCATTCCATTAATTAGTAAGAATTATACAGACTTTAATAGCTGCCTTTTTAGAAAGGACAGAGGAAAATGTCATGTTTAATTACAGTAATTAATCTTGGTATGCATATATGCATGCATTTATCCACAATACTTTATTTTCTACACCAGTTTTAAAGTTCATGATTTTGTTTATATGTGTGTGTATAAATAGAGAGATAATGAATTGTATCAAATTTCTTTGTGAGTACACAGAATAAATTATATATGACCATAAGAATGTTAAATTTTCCTCTCTCTGTAACCTTGGACAGTTTAATTTAACCATCAGAACCTTAATCTGAAAAATAAGGTAGAATATTACATTATTTTAAGTTTAATAAGTATAACAGGTCAAAAAATCAAATACAAATGTGAACATATGTGTATATGTATTTCTATGTTAAATATAATTGTATATTTCTATGTACACCATGTGCATTTATATATTGTATGTATGTGTATTTTGTATATATATATATAAATTCAAGATTTTTTGGTCTCTGTTAAATCAAAAGCTGTACCTGTTGATGTGGCTTCTTGACCTCTCGTTTATACAGTGGATGAAGTCTTCTGGGGTAAACCACTTCATACTTCTTTACTCCATGGAGTTCTCTTATAGCATTTACTGAAAAAAAAAAAGTAAGAGAAGGTTTAACTAATAAGAATTAATAGACTGGTCGGAAATGGTTATCTTTAATGCATTTCTGTGAATGGTGTCCCCCACCGAGACTTTGAGTTATGTCAGAGAGTTATTAAAGTGCAGACACCAAACGAGATCCACAAAATCAGAGACTTTCAAATCTTTACTTTAACGTATCCCTTTAAATATTTCCCCACTGAGAATATTTTTTTAAGTTTTTCCACTTCTCTTTGCTATCTTGGATCCCCGCAGAGGAATAGAGCAAACAGTATAGAGTCTATACTATAGACAAAAGCTAGTCAAGGAAGGCAGAAGCCAAATGAACCCTCTAAGAAGCCAAATCAGTGTCAGAATGGTAGAATTGAAGCACTCTCAAAACTACAGTGTTAGAAAAATGAAATAACTAATGGGTGTCATTTCAGATTCTAAGATATTTTCCTTGGGTTTCCCAAAAGCAATGCTTTACACTATTGAAAGAAACAAAGTCAGTAAGAAAAGGCTCCAATACCAGCGCCATGGAATGGGCAGGCTCTTTGCAGCACAGACACACCTTCGTTTTTGCATACAACACATGAAAAAAATATTTTTAAAAAATTAGAGACACAGACAGTTAGAACAGTATTACTGGCCTGGACGGAAATGTCTGAGTCTGCTGTTACCTTAAAAGAGAATTGAAAAGTTATCTCATTTAACCTCCTTTCTGCATCTTGAAATCTCATCTCAACATTGAATCTAGAAGTTATTTTTGAGAGATATTCAGTTTTTCCAAAGCTAACACTGGAATTTCTATTTTCTTTTATTTTTCTACTAGAGGCCCGATACACAAAATTTGTGCAAGGGGCTTGGCCCTCACAGCCGCAGTGGCTTGCCTCGGCCTTCACAGCCCCAGCTTTGTCCAGAAGGTCATCCGGAAGGATGCCTGGAAGGATATCCGGAAGGTCGTTCGGCTGCCCAGTCTAATTAGCATATTATACTTTTATTATTATAGATTTACCCACATGGTCCTGTCCCTGTTCTGTGCAGAGTGGAGCCTCAGGAAATGTCAGCAGATCTGCTCTCTGGTCGCTGAAGAGGCTGCAGGTCCACACGGAATGTAGATGCAGTAGGAACCAGGGCCCAACCCAGCGATTGACTGACACTAGGACTAGAAAGGCTTTAGTTGTCTGTGTAGAGTCGGAGGCTCTCTAAAGGTAACCCTAGCTCATTACACTACTCAAACCTATGTCCTATGATAATACAAATTTATGTTACCCTGGTTGATCTTTTAACAAATAGAACTGAGGATTTTTGTTAGTCACCTTGAATGACTGTACACTTATCCCAGTATGTCCCAAGAATAAAGATTTATTTTTAAAACATTTCTTTAGAAACTAAAGCATACATTTTCAAAATTCCTGGTGATGTCAATTTTATTATTTTAGGATGTCTTTATTTCATTTGATCACTCAGGAGCCATGTACATCTAACTTTAAAAGATAGAAAAAGTGATAAAAGTATCTGCAAATTCGTTGTGTCAAAAATGAGGTGTTCACATGATGAAACAGTTTTTTATTCAGTGGCCTGAGATTTACTCTTAGCAAGATTTCAAAGGCACTTAAAGCTGTGGCATCAATACTAGAATGCCTTAACTTTGGGTTTAGTTTGGTTTTTTAATTATTTGAAAAGAGAAGATAGGTTAAGTGATCTCTGGCCAATTCAAGTAGTCTACAATTTCATGCAAATACATACAGAATCCCCTATAATCTCTTCAAAGAGGCAATGCTCATTTGAATAAACTTCTAATCAGTTGATAAAATAAGTCTGGCACATAGTCACACTTCCAGAACCACATCTGAGGTTCCCTCAGTTACTTCTTGCTGTTACACAGATAATCACTGGCCCTCTTTTATTTCTATTTAATTAATTTTGGGTAAAAAAAAAAAACCACATTGGTTATAAACGGTTTTCATAACAGAAGTCCAAAAGCCTGAAGAAACATCTAATCAATCATTGTCTTTTCATTAAGTGAACATTTTGGTAATTATCACACTTATTTCAAAATAGTATGATGTTAAGAGGTAAGAAAATTACTCCTGCCAGAAAGTAACTAATGGTATCGGCACAATTCTCCACAGCCCCCTGTAACTCTGATACCAAACAAGCATACCAAGAGGCATGCGTGCTGGCGGGTGGCTTGTGTCCAATCAGTGCAGTTAGTCCCATTAATACAGAGCTCTTGAAGCCTTATATTCACCAATGTTGCAAACAGAGTAACTCTTTCTAAAACGCTATATGAAAAATCATTTTCATCCATAATACACATCATTTTGACAGGAAATATTATCTAAGCTGCCCTCGGGTCATAAAATAATACCTACCCAAATAATTCTTTCCATAAATGCATAAAGTAATACACATGCACATTCTCCTTCAGAAGTGGTGAGTAAGGAACAGGCTGATCTGACCAACACAAGTTTTCTTTGATATGCACTGATTAGTATCTAATCAGTATGCTTCTAATTAGTATCTAAATTCTAGGGTTTGGTGAAATTCGAAATTACCAGCTGATTCAAATATGGAGTTGAAGTATGTAAAATAGTGGAGAAATTTATTTTCAACTATTTTTTTGATGGCAGATCACTTTCCAATGGCAAGCAAAATAAATCAATAAATAAACCAGAATGTATTTAAAGGTCTTCGGCAACCTCTCACTTTCTTCAGTTTGAAATGAATGATTTCTAGCTCTTTCCAAACTCTTGCAACATTGTACATTCTCTTAAAAAGCAGATAGAATTTCCCTTAATGGCATTTGATTTTCTGAAACCCAGTAGGCCCTGGGACGAGTGTGATTTGAGATGTAATGAAAGACCCAGCAGCTAGGAGATGCAGCAGACCTTCATATTTTATGGCTCGTTCATCGTAAGGTGATAGAGATAGTTAAGCCTCCTCTCAGCAGATTACACAGGCTTATTATTTTGAAGCCTGTGGAACAAACACAACTAAGTGCCATCCAGGGATTACACAAATTTGAGCTGTAACACAGTATGTTTCTACTCATTCATTGGAATACTGCTTTCTCTTTCCCACAGGACTCACGTGCGAGACTGATTTTGACTAGCAAAACTAGATCAACAAAAAGAAATCTCTTAGTTTGGTTTAGGTTCAATAATTCTTTTATGTTAAAAAGTTAAAAATTAATTCTGTTGACAAGATTAATGTAACAGACATTGGTCTGGATTGCTATTTTATATTTTAATATGTTTTGGGCCACTTTGGATTTTAGCACATTTGTACATAATGACATTTTCATATGTTTTCAAAACTGCTTAAAGCATTGTCTTCCCAAATTGAGCACATGACATGAAGTCCTGATCAGGGTTCATGCCATGACACTGACTTAAGTTCGGGGTTCTCTGAACCCCGTCAACCCATCTGGTAATTTTAAACTTCATGTAGGAAAAGTGAGCACAAACACTGAGGGAAAAAACACATCTTAATTAAGTCTATCATTTGGCTATTAAGATGAAATTATATGTACTCTTTAGGGTCTTCTGGTCACCTTATGAAGACAAGAAAGAATTTCTGATTGGAAATAAAATAATTTCAGAAGTACTGATCCCCCTGGGTAATCTGCTGGAATATAGTAAAGACCATTTTCCTTTGTCAATGCATTTAGTTCTTCACCCACAAGCACCTGGCACATCCTTTTAAATATTTGTGTGTGTTTTTCCTGTGATGCAATTCTATAAGTTGTTTTTCTCAGGAAATTACTAAGCTCATTACAAACAGTTGGCCTGATTTTACCCCCTTCTTTTATTTCATTATATGAGAACTAGATAAATGTCAGCATCTGAGCAACACCTATTTATTCTGTGGATGATGTGAACAAAGAAACAAAATAAAAGAAGAGATAGGGAAATAAAACTGCTTTACTTCTTGCATTCTGGCTGGGAAATCAACTTATTGGAAAAAAAACATCAGAGTATTTCACTATGGGGGAGACAGTCTTGAAAACTCAAGATTATCACCATAAATGAAAGAACTAAAAATGTGAGCTCAAAAGGAACAGGACAAGCCAACTCGTCCCAATGATAATACAAAATACTTTCCAAAGCCTTCTGCAAAGCCATGGGCACTGCTCTGAACAGGACAAGGTGGGTTTTGATGAATTTCACCTTTTGAGTTGAAGATCATATTCATTATTTTAATTATGCTGAAGGAAATCTTCCATTTGATTCCCATGTTCTCAGAACATATATGTAAATATTGATTAAGGACACCTCTTTGCCTCTCATTTACATTGAGTTTTTACATCAGTCACCTGCCTTCTCCAAAAATAGATTAAAATCTGCCCAACTAGTTAGTAAAATTTATTAAACGAATATATTTGGAGAAGATAAAAGGCAAGCAGCTCACTGATGTATTTAAAATAACCTAAAAAAAAGGTAAACACCTACCTGGAACTGAAGAAAGAAAGAACGTGGCCACCAGAAGAAGCCCTGGCAACATCCTGGCCAGGAGTGTGGTGTCTGTCCTTCTCACTCAAACAGAAGTGCACTGCTCGGTCTTTCACTGCCACCTCTCAAGTGAAACCGAGTGAGACTCCCAGGCTCATTCTCCTCTCTGCTTCAGGAAGTATTTACTGAAGGTGTTGCACAACCTTGAAGCTGTGGTCCCGCAACAATGGCACAAGCAGGCGGAAGTTCTGACTGGCTCCCAGTTCTAAGATTACTTTGTCATGAGCTATGATTTATCTTTTCTTCTCCCCAGTGTCCCCACTCAAAAGTGGTGTGTTTCCAATATATTACCACCGCCCAATAAGCCACCATGAGAGAACAGCTTAGATGTACTTCTGGTTGATAATTTGTTCCCACTCCTGGGTCCCAGTAAGCATGCGTATACCCAAGAGAAGACTGACCAAGGAAGGATTCCCAGGTACTAAAGCTAATGTGCTTCCCTAAGCTCTAGAAACATAAATAAGCTAAGGAAATGTGCTAACCAATCTAATTTAACCAAAATCTAATAGAAGAATGTATGAGCAATGGACAGAGATAGTAGACATTATGTGTTACTAGGAAGTAGAATTCCTCTACTTTTAAGTTTGTAAATGCTTGATATACCAGCAAAATAGAAGTAAGTGATCAAGTTCGGTTTAGCAATAGCATTATTTTGATCAAGTAATATAACACTGCTTTATAAAATGAAATTGGTCAAGTATTTATTTCTAATTACTCATATTTATTATCACCATAAATGAAAGAACTAAAAATGCGAGCTCAAAAGGAACAGGACAAGCCAACTCGTCCCAATAATAATAGAAAATACTTTCCAAAGCCTCTGCAAAGCCGTGGGCACTGCTCTAAAAAGGACAAGGTGGGTTTTGATGAATTTCACCTTTTGACTTGAAAATCATATTCATTATTTTAATTATGCTGAAGGAAATCTTCCATTTGATTCCCATGTTCTCAGAACATATATGTAAATATTGATTAAGGACACCTCTTTGCCTCTCATTTACATTGAGTTTTTACATCAGTCACCTGCCTTCTCCAAAAATAGATTAAAATCTGCCCAACTAGTTAGTAAAATTTATTAAACAAATATATTTGGAGAAGATAAAAAGCAAGCAGCTCACTGATGTATTTAAAATAACCTAAAAAAAAAGGTAAACACCTACCTGGAACTGAAGAAAGAAAGAACGTGGCCACCAGAAGAAGCCCTGGCAACATCCTGGCCAGGAGTGTGGTGTCTGTCCTTCTCACTCAAACAGAAGTGCCTGCTCGGTCTTTCACTGCCACCTCTCAAGTGAAACCGAGTGAGACTCCCAGGCTCATTCTCCTCTCTGCTTCAGGAAGTATTTACTGAAGGTGTTGCGCAACCTTGAAGCTGTGGTCCCGCAACAATGGCACAAGCAGGCGGAAGTTCTGACTGGCTCCCAGTTCTAAGATTACTTTGTCATGAGCTATGATTTACCTTTTCTTCTCCCCAGTGTCCCCACTCAAAAGTAGTGTGTTTCCAATATATTACCACCGCCCAATAAGCCACCATGAGGTAAGAACTTAGATGTGTCTTGATAAATGTGTGTATTTATTATGATATGGATGTAGGTAAGGGCATTCCTGCTTTGAACCTGTGTTCCAGTTGAGTAATCCCTGTAATTTCTGAGATATTGGGAAATCCCCTTCCCTTTAATACATGCCTCATACCATCTAAATCTTGGGACCATTGGATACAGGATCTTCATTATATGTTTTTACTTAATTATATGTTTCTAACCTGCCATGCTCTCACAATTGCATCTGGAATGGGCAGAGAGGTACCACTCCTTCAATCCAAAGAGAGCTGTAGAGTCATTGAGAGCTGAGACACTGCCCTCTTTGCTTTCCTGTACCCAGTAATGTACTGCACAGAGTTGGCACAGATTCAATGCTTCCAGTGTGCTAAAAAGTATGTGTCATGGAGTTTAAAAAACTCAGGTTTAAACATGGTTGAACACATTCTGTCTCTCTGCCCGATTCACCACGTATACATATTGAAAACTTATCTGATCAAATCTCTACCACTACTTCGGGTAATGGAACAAACAAAAGCACAAAGAGTTTTGTACCCTCTAAGAGAAGACTTGCCATTTCACCTTCAAAAACTTTAAACATTCTTCATATGTAAATAAATAATTCAACCACTGAGAATCATCCTAAGAAAATTTTCTAAAATATAAAATGAGTTTTATGCCTCCATATGTCAATTAAATTATGTATAAAAGATAAAACTAAAATTAAATATCCCAAAATAAGAAGATAGGTATGTAACCTACTACATACCTACTTAAAGAAATATTAAGTCAATATTTAAACTAACCTGTACAATAAATTTTAATATTATGGAAAAGCTTTACATAATAATATCAGGAAAAAATAAAGCAATAAAATTATATACAAAATAATCAAACTTAAATAAAAACTTTGAAAAGCTATTCAGAGCAAAACACAGAAACAGAAAAAAAAAATCCAAATATTTAGAGAGGCTTTTGTGTTTTGTGTGTGTGCTGGGAAGATGTGCTCTTATTCATTTTCTTTCCCTTTTTAAAAAAATATTTGTATTGATATCAGAGAGGAAGGGAGAAGGAGATAGAGATAGAAACATCAATGATGAGAGAGAATCATGGATTGGCTGCCTCCTGCACACCCCCTACTGGTGATTGAGCCCGTAACGCAGGCATGTGCCCTGACTGGGAGTCAAACCATGACCTCCAGGTCCATAGGTCGACACTCAACCACTGCACCACACCAGCCAGGCTCTTTCCCTTTTTAAAAAATTTTAAGTAGTGGTTAGCATTACTTGTATAATTTTTAAATTATGTAAAATAAACAAAAATATATAATTTTTTCCCAAAATTATTGACTGGCCTTTCTATTAGAAAATAGTAGCTACTGAATATGTGGGTTTTTTAAAAATATATTTTTATTATTGATTTCAGAGAGGAAGAGAGAGGGAGAGACAGAAACATCAATGATGAGAGAGAATCACCAATTGGCTTCCTCCTGCAGGCTCCAGAATGGGGATCAAGCCCGCAACCTGGGTACGTGCCCTGACTGGGACTCAAACCGTGACCTTCTGGTTCATAGGTTGACGCTCAACCACTGAACCACACCAGCTGGGCACTACTGAGTATGTTTGCACACTGAATTAATCATTGAAAGAGGACCACTCTTAAAAAAACAAGCAGAGCTCTAGCTGGTTTGGCCCAGTTGATAGAGCATTGGCCTGAGGACTGAAGGGTCCTGGGTTTGATTCCTGTCAAGGGCTCATGCCTAGTTTTGGTGTTCGATCCCCATTAAGGGACATGCAGGAGACAGCCAATCAACGATTCTCATCATTGATGTTTAAATCCCTTTCTCCCTCTCCCTCCCTCTCTAAAATGTATAAAAATGTTTTTAAAAAGACACACAAAAAACAAAACAACAACAACAACAACAAAAAAAAACAAGCAGAGTCTCTGAACTACAAGCATGAGCACCTGAGTCTTAGAAGAAAAGAAGGAAAAAGCGCTGTTAGTCTTTTAAAGCCAAAACCAATGTAAAGACTTAGGGTTTCCTATTCTAACTTACCATGTAAGTAGATAATGTAACACAAAGAAAGGAAAGCTATTTTCTTTTAAGCTTGGTAAATACATTTTTACATAAGAAAATGGAGAGATTTTGTTATCAGCTTTCAGGTACATTTATGTAAAAAATATTTACATAAGATTTTACTTTCTTGCTTAGATGTTAATTTTATAATCAGCCAATAACCCTTTTACCCCTGAATTATTAGCTATGTGCTTAATATATACATGTTGCATTCCATTAGGTTCTTTGTAACATGAGTGGCCTTCCCTCTCATTTTACATCTAAATTAAAAGCAGTAGATAATCAGCAGAGACCTATTGGGTCCAATCAAAATGATGTACCATTTGATGTACTTTAACTAGCAGACAGGGGTTGGCAGAGCACTCTGTGTTCCAGGTAGAATAAAGATAGACACTTTCTAATTTTATAAATGTAATTCCTACATTCTCTGTGCTCCTTTGCTTACATACATTCGCTCCCATTCTCTTTCTGGTATAAGAACTAAAATTAAGACCCAATATTATGTGTCCCTCTACAAGAGGGCATGCATTGGCCTAACCACAAGTTTCCCTACTCAGCTCCCATGGATAAGGTCCCCTAGTCCAGTGGTCGGCAAACTCATTAGTCAACAGAGCCAAATATCAATAGTACAACGATTGAAATTTCTTTTGAGAGCCAAATTTTTTAAACTTAAACTATATAGGTAGGTACATTGTTATTAACTTAATTAGGGTACTCCTAAGGCTAAGGAAGAGCCACACTCAAGGGGC